CATAAGGCTGTACACATACAGATTGAAATTAAATATAATGCGGTTTTCATTATAATAACAATTATGTAATGACAAGTAAACATATTAAAATATGTAAGATAGTGCACATATTTAGCAAAATACTCCTCTCTAGCCTATAGCTGCAATTTTTTCTAGTCAACTAACATGCTGGTCATTAAATGGCTTTCCTGAGGTAAATGTAACGTTCTGTGACATAATTGTTCTCCTGCAGTTTTATTGACCTCTTTCCGTGGTTGAAAAACACTGATACATCGATATTATGTATACCTTTCGGTAAGTTGTACTGTATATTTAAATAAAAAAGTAACAGATGATCGGTTTACTTGAACTGAGGTGCAGCGATCTGTCACGTCACAAGCGCCAAAGCGCTATTTATTGTCTGAATTTCGTAATAAAATGGACAGAACCTGAGAGCTGATATTTTTTATCATGTATTTACCTGCTCTGTCTTGTCTGTCGGTCTCCATGTCCTCTTTGCTCCGCGATTTTTCTCTTCGTGAGAAAATGGATGTGTGGCGTGAGAGCGTGTGAAAGGTGTCAATTGTGTGTCTCACGTTGAATGAGAGTTGGCAGCCCTGCTTTTAGAAGGGGGATAAATCGTCGGCAGCGTTCCTCCTTCTCCATGTGAGGATTGTTTACATTAGACCAGAGTGCGCACTGCCGCATGCACACAGTGGAGATAGTTTACATCAGCACGTGTTTTGCGCAGCATATACCCAGTGTTTTTTAAAGGGATACTCCACCCAAAAATGAAAATGCTGTCATCATTTTCTCACCCTCAAGTTGTTGCAAACCTGTATGAGTTTCTTTCTTCTGCTGAACACAAAGGAAGATATTTTGAAGAACGATTGGAACTTTGGCACCATTGACTTCCATAGTAGAAAAAAAAGAAATACTATGGAAGTCAATGGTGCCAAAGTTCCAATCGTTCTTCAAAATATCTTCCTTTGTGTTCAGCAGAAGAAAGAAACTCATACAGGTTTGCAACAACTTGAGGGCGAGTAAATGATGACAGAATTTTCATTTTTGGGTGGAGTATCCCTTTAAGCGGTTGATGGAAAATAAGTTAATGCACGCTCTAAAAATCTAAATTCGGATCTATTATTTTTCACAGTATTTTGAAGTCCAATAACAATATTGTGCATATTCATTACCGTGATTTATTGCATTATCAAATACCGGCACATGTCTAATTTCAGACATGTTTGCCTTCCATTAAAATCTATAGCCTAATTGAGTGAAATTTGAATTCATAGTCTTGGTATTAAGTCATATCTTTCAATAAAATACTGGCATATAGATACAGTTGTTGGCAAAAGTGATATACGTCAATATAAAATTGACATCTTCAACATGTATTAAAAAAAGTAAAGATGATAAAAATTTTGTGATAACGCAATGCAGACATAATTTTTGGCCAGGCTGTCATACAAAGACATTAGCCTATATTAACATGCAAAAACAAGAGAGAACCAGCGAGATATTAAATTTAGTTTAGTCTTGTGTTCTTCCCCTCAAATATCCCTTCCTTTTTGGCCACTACTGTATGTAGTCATGTATTATGTAGAGTGCCTTTCACAAATAATGGTCAAAACAAGGCAAGTTTGTAATGTTTCTGATATTTTATTTTATGAAAAAAGGTAGAACAAATTGCAACAGAAGCAAACTCGACTGATTTTGTATCCTCAATATGTCCTGAATAAGGGGAAAAAAAGCCCAGAAGAATCCCATTTGGGGAACGTTTCGAAAGAGATCCAAATATAGCCTATTCATTCTTTTTCTTTCGTGAATAGGGTAAAAATTTAACCTTTAGATATCACCATGAAAATTACTGAGTTGATTAATTCATCAAGATAAACAAAAAATGTATTACAAGTTTTTTTAAATGGTTTGTTAACATGGACAAACGGTGGGAAATCTAATTACGTGTGTGCTAATTTGCATAACACAACATATCTAAATATTGGGTATAGCCAGGTGAAAATGTCTTGTTGAATCTTTTTAACATCTTACACTAAAATACTTAAAGGTGCTCTAAGCGATGTCATGTGTTTTTTAGGCCAAAACATTTTTTGTCACATACAGCAAACATCTCCTCACTATCCGCTGGCTGCCTGTCCCCTGAACACACTGTAAAGAAACGCGATCTCTGTAGACAGCCCATGCTTCACAAACAGCACCAAAAACAAACTGCAGCGACCCGCTCCCCAAAACATAACAAACTGTTCCAGCCAATGACCGACAAGAAGGGTTTGGGGGTGTGGTTTGGGGGGTTAGTGTGCGGATGAGGAGGAGGGAGGGTCTAGCTAGCCTCCGTTTTGTTTGACAATAGTTCGAACGTCAACAAGAAGTGACGTCACCCAGGATCGCTTAGAGAACCTTTAATGTTAAGGTCTGAATGGAACCCATTTAGGCTACCCATGAGCACACACACACTCACTGAAAGCTCAGATTTATGGCTTTAGAGTAAAACATGTTTTGAAAAATATGTATTTCATGTAAAATACATAGGCAGGAAGAAGTACTTTAGAAACTAGCCTTTATTAATTATTATTGCTGAGATGGGGTTTGGGGCTTGGGCCATGGGACTGTTTCTGAGGGATGAGTCTGAGGTAAGAACAGGAGACACGGGTAAGGAGAATGCAGAAGACTTTAAAAGGTAGGTAAAATAGCTGGATCAAACAATCAAATTAATCCATGTAGGAGAAACAAAAGGAAATCTTTACCTGAGTGACAGTTGAGTGGACCTTGAATGAATGACTGAATCTCTGCCCCTTAGTCTTTTACTGTAAGATGTCAACAAGACATTTTCACCTGGCCATACCCAATGTTTAGATCTGTTGTGGTATTTATGCAAATTAGCACATACATAATTAGATTATGCACCGTTTGCCCACGTTAACAAACAATTTAAAACATTTTTCTTGATGTAAGTAATCAACTCAGTAATTTTATATGATAATATGATAAAAGATTAATTTTTTTACCCTATTCACGTGAGAAAAAGAATGAATAGGCTATATTTGGGTTTATTTCGAAACGTTCCCCTAATGGGATTCTTCTGGGCTTTTTTTCCCTTACTCAGGATACTGACATATTGAGGATACAAAATCAGTTGAGTTTGCTTCTGTTGCAATTTGTTCTAGGTTGACCCCCATTTTGAAAAGACAGGAAATGTAAATGTGTGTAATGTCATTATATATTAGAAATATTGGTAACTTTACAATAAGGTTCATTACATTAGTTAATGTATCAACTAACAATGAGCAATAGTTGTTATAGTATTTATTAAATCTTTTTTAAAGGGATAGTTCATTTTGAAATTAATTTTTGATATGTTTTAGCTTACCTCAAGTGCATCCAAGATGTAGGTGTCTTTGTTTCCGCAGTAGTTTCAATTTTGATATTTTTAGGTCAAACCGTTCTTGTCTGTCAGTCATATAATGCAGGTCTATGGTCACCACCTCAAAGAGCATGCACAGAGAAGTCCAAATTAAACATGATTTAATGACTCGTAAATGTAAGTACACATTGATGGCCTAAGACACGAAACGAGCGGTTTGTGTGAGAAAACGAACAGTATTTATATCGTTTTTACCTCTTGTAAACACAGCCACGTCCAAGTGATCTGAGGGCGCGGGCGCTTCGGTCTTTTCCGGAAAGCGATATCTCGCGTGTACGTCACTCATACAATTTTTTTTGTTTGTTTTTTTGTTTTCTTTTACGACGGTTTAAACATCCCGGATAAGTGCAAATTAGTACCATTTTAATTAGCCGTCTTACCTACAATCTCTGCTCTGTGTAAACAATCAGTGACGTACACGCGCGAGAGATCAATTCTGGCGCTTTCCGGAAAAGACCGAAGCGCCCGCGACCTCAGATCACTTGGACGTGGCTGTGTTTACAAGAGGTAAAAACGATATAAATAATGTTCGTTTTCTCACACAAACCGCTCGTTTCATGTCTTAGGCCATCAATGTGTACTTACATTTACGAGTCATTAAATCATGTTTAATTTGGACTTCTCTGTGCATGCTCTTTGAGGTGGACCCCATAGACCTGCATTATATGACTGACAGACAAGAACGGTTTGACCTAAAAATATCAAAATTGAAACTACTGCGGAAACAAAGACACCTACATCTTGGATGCCATTGAGGTAAGCTAAAACATATCAAAGATTAATTTCAAAGTGAACTATCCCTTTAATAAAATACAACGGTTCATTGTTTGTTAGTTCACAGTGCATTGACTAATGTTAACATTAATATTAACTAATGAACCTTGTTTTAAAGTGTTACCGAAATACTTGTTGGCATTTTTTTTTATATTACCTGACTAGGGTCCCCCCCCCCCCCCCCCCAGTGAACATGCAAAGCAGTGTTGGGCTCCTTTCAAAAGTAAGATTCTTACTTTCTGTCAACAGTATTTCATTACACTTCGTTCTCATTTTAAGACTCATTATTAGTGCTGTCAGATTGATTAATCGCGCTTTCCATAAGTTTTTGTTTATATAATTATGTACACATATACTCTCATTTGTTAGGTGCGATTAATTGATTTTACAGCACTACTCATGTTTTAAATACAGTATCTTACATGTGAAAAAGCAGACACTGGATCCTGTGTATGATGTTTATTGAAGGCACTGCCAGTCTTCGTAAAGTAAGACTGAGTGAGGTAGAAAGAGCACCAGTTTTTTTTGGCTTGGTTGTCTTCATGTTACACAGATGCAAAGACACATTAATATGCAAAAGGTTATGATAATTTTCCTGACAAACTATCTGCAGCATCTTCAAATAAAAACAATCATGACTGGTAAGGTTCTCCAAGAATTAAAAATCGTACACATATCCTTCAACTTTTATCAATCTTCATATGTCAGTATTGTAGCAACTGGTCTTCCAATATTAAAAGCAGATATGCAGGCATCTTAAATTTGACAGCATTATAAAGCATTATCTGAGACACAGGAAAACGTTTCACGTTTACCTGTACTGTTTCAAAACGTTGCGCTGCGGATCAAGTCTTTACATGCTACTATTGAATGTTTGACAATGCTAGATATGGATGGCATCATGATTTAGTACAGAATTAAAAAATATGAATGTGCAAGAAAGGCAGTTCAGTTTGTCCTTAATGTTTAAAAGAGTCTTTGCTCCCTCTCAGGACAGCAGTCTTTGTAGGATGAATAAGGTAAGTGTTGTGATTGCGTTGGTGCAGGACTGGGGTTGTGCTGTTCCTGTTGTGCTGTTGTCACTCTGCTGAAGGAGGAAGTTGTGTGTCAGGGCAGAGAACGAGTCGGGACCATATGGCACTTTAATGCTCTGTGTGAGGGTCTTGTGTCCTGGGTGTGTCACCTGTAGACAAAGCAACAATGAGTAACCTCTGTAGTCAAAACTATGTATAAATGTCTATTTGAATAGCTTTATTGGCATGTCTGTATTCCAAATATAAATGGATTTGATGTGAGGATGGTAAAATGTAGTGATGTTGTTTTCATATTGTGTTTCCTTCTTTCAGAATGTCATTTGGAACCTCTTGCACCCTTACAGGTGAGAGGCAGTCACAACAACCTGGAGCAGAACAGTGGAAATGATAGTGGACTTCAGGAAGAACACCCCAACACTCCCCTCCCTAATCATCATGGACAGCACTGTGGCGTCATTCAAGTTCCAGGGCCTGAAGTGGGACAGTCACATTGACTCCATTGTGAAAAAAGCCCAGCAGAGGTTGTAGTTCCTTCATCAGCTGAAGTGCAACCTGCTTACCCAGTTTTACTCCGCTACATAAGACTACTCCGGTATGAAGGTAAAAAGAGTAGCAATCATTTTTCATACTTGTACGCTAAAATTTACAGACAGAAACTTGTTGTACATATTTGCATTACAACATCACTTAGGCTTTTGATACTATTTTCAAGATATATCAAATGCGTAACTCAGCGACAAGAGAGAAAGGCGGTGTAGGGCACAAAGGAGTCGGTTTATTGGTTGGCGCCTAACCAATGAAATGGTATTACTTTTGTACGTGATGAAGTCACAAAACGCTAATGTGGCTTAATGCATTAGACAGTGATATTAAAAGAAATAAATGATCAAACTTAGTAAACACCAAACTAATTAAGCATAAGCCTACTATGTACAGAATAGAATAATGGTTTTCGTCCCATTTTCTATGGGAGGAAAACAGTTGACATGTAATTAAATGTGTTGGGCTCATCTGTATTTCTTTTAAAATCACTGTCTAATGCATTTAGCCACATTAGCGTTTCAGAGCATCCCCGAGGCGTGGGTTTTGTGACATCATCGCATACAAAAGTATGCGTTAGGCGCCAACCAATAAAATTGCCTTTCTCTCTCAGCGCCACTGAGTTGCAAGTGCACAATTAAGATTGTACTGTGAATGGCATTTTACACATTTGTGACTATCTCTGCGAGTGTAAATTTCAGTGTACAAGTTCTCAATTATACAGGTCCTTCTAAAAAAATTAGCATATTGTGATAAAGTTCATTATTTTCCATAATGTAATGATAAAACTTTCATATATTTTCGATTCATTGCACAGCAACTGAAATATTTCAGGTCTTTTATTGTTTTAATACTGATGATTTTGGCATACAGCTCATGAAAACCCAAAATCAGTGTTTTTTTGCCACACTTTTTCCTTCCCACAGACTTCAGATGATTAGGTTAATAGCTCGTTTAGAGACCCTTTTCATGATATGCTATTTTTTTGAGACAGGAATTTTGGGTTTTCATGAGCTGTGTGCAATGAATCTAAAATATATGAAAGTTAAATTTTTATCATTGCATTATGGAAAATAATGAACTTTATCACAAGATGCTAATTTTTTGAGAAGGACCTGTATATCTACATATGCTCCATAGGTTTGCTAATCTTTTACCTTCATAGTTCAGGACTGCTGAGAGGATTATTGGTGCTCACCCTGGTCACAACCTATTTGAACTGTTGCCTTCTGGCCGGCGATTCAATACACTGGGCACTAGATCATCCAGGAACACAATCATTAGTGCAATGTCTTGTTAATTAACTTTATTATCCATAATACTGTAAAGTGTTCATATGTATATACTTACATTGTATTATTATGTGTCTTGTATTTATACATGTGCACTGGAAGCTTCATTTACCTAGGAAAATTCCTAGTGTGTGCAATAAAGCTCTTACTGATGTTTCTCCAAAGGCCTGCATTGCAAGCATATTCTAATAATTTTCTGTTTATATAGCCTATGCATAAGATATCATTAATGCTTCATGTGTATGGAAGTAAAATAATGCCAAATGTTTTTGAAACAAAAAAGCCTGTTGTATTGCACTTTTATGGGCTGTGAAATTTTTCATTATTAAAAATTCAATAATCCATATTCATATTTCTATTCAAACTGTTTAAAAATACAACCTATAATATTCAACAGGCAATTTTCGGTCCATTTTGCTTTGTGGTTCAAATTCCATGTTGACATCCAGGAAAAGCAGTAGATTACCGAGCATAATCTCTATCTGCTGTTAGTCGATCTCACCAGCAGGAGGTGCAAGTGCGTGTTGTTGACGAGGAAGCCATTCATTCATAAAAACTCAGCAATTTAAGTGTATATTTTATCGTCATTATTAGGATGGCTGTTTTATGTTAAATTCAGTGTCTTCACGAGTTACTTTCCCTGTGCAGCCTACATGCATCTTTCTCTACCGTGAACGAGATTATAATGTTATTCCGCGGATGTAGGCCTACAGATCCAAGGTTACATTTGAGGTAGACCTATATTTCTCTTGGTTGTTTAGTTAACTTTATATTGCAGAGATGTGCTGCATGCAGTAGGCTAGGGTTTCCCTCAATACTTCAGGATTCCCCTGCTGGACATATAAAACACTTAACGTAGCTTAATGGACTAATACAGTGATATAAAACACCAAACTCGCAGACTCAGCATTAAACTTTGCACGTTAAGTTCATATTCTGAGCGTTTCCCAGTGATTTATATACTGGCATAAAGTTGGCTTGACATTGGCACAATTCTAACTTCAATAGCATTTGAAAAGAAAGACTTCAAGTCATAAAACCAACTGTAAAGTGGTGGGTATAATGCGCACCTTTTAGATTTTTGATCTAGATTATTTAGATTATTTATTTAAATAAATTGAAGTAAGAGACAGTCCCTAAATGTGCGAATGTCAAGCCAATTTTACATTTAGTCATTTAGCAGATGCTTTTATCCAAAGCGACTACAGTTAGGATAGACGGGATAGCGACTACAGTTATAATAGGACAACAAATATTTGCAAGTGCTATGACCCTTCCCAGTTTAATCTAATGTAGTGTAATGTACATGTAGGCATACTTATAGAATAGAAGAGAAAGTGTTAGTATGAATTGATCAAGTGTTGATTTTATGCCAGTAGCACTGGGAAACGCTCAGCATGAAACTGCGTATTTAGTTCATATTCTGAGTCTGCTTGCCTGTAGCCAATATTAGTACAGCCTACATCCCCAATATGGTGTGAGTTAGTCTTTTTTATCACTGTATTAGTCCATTAAGCTACGATATCCTTGAGGATGATGAGGTATTGAGGGAAACCGATTATAATCCCGTTCATGGTAGAGAAAGCTGATAACATGTAGACTACACAGGGAAAGTAACAAGGAAAGCTATTGAATTAAACAAACATAGCTTTTGTGTCTTTATCATCTTTTCCACATAATACTAACCCAGATAATCATCACAAAAACTTAATGCATGCTCAATTGCTATGAATGAATGGCTTGCTCTGGTCTTCGCCAACGCGCTTGCACCTCCTGCTGGTGAGATCGACTAACAGCAGATGGAGATTATGCTCGGTAATCGACTGCTTTTCCTGCAGTTCCTGGACGTCAATGTTGAATTTACTGTCGAATTTGAACCACTGAATTTGTGGAAGCGAATTTGCAAAGCGAAATAAAATGGAACGAAACCCGCCTGTTCAATATTATAGGTTGTATTTTTAAACAGTTTGAATATTTTGGAAGTGAAATATGAAGGTGAATATGGATTATTGAATTTTTAATAATGAAAATGTGTTTTAAATGTTTTGATTAGAAATATTCACAGCTTAAATATTCAACCACGCTAAATTTCACAGCCCATAAAAATGCAAGCCCTAAAAATACAATGTATTCAAATGCAAGCATGGTTAATGCAGTGCATATTTTTTTCAAGTAGTGCAATTCAACAGGCTTTTTTTGTTTCAAAACCATTCGGCATTATTTTACTTCCATACATGTACACCAAACAATGAGGATTTTTTTAAATTACCATGTTAGTTCATTCAGCATGAGCTAATTTGCATAAACTGAGAACAAATACTTTTAACCGTATAATTTTAAAAATATATTAATAAATGTAACCATATAGTAAAAAAAAACCCTGCTCTTTTAAATAATTAATTGCATATATTTTTCTTGAAATTACCAAACTTAAATTACTGTTAACAGCAGACAATTATTCTGATTATATTCAGAATAATTGGTATCGGCGGAAAAATGTACCAATAATAAATTAATTTTCAAGCTCATTTCTTTTAAAAGTATGGACTCATTGTTTGATTTGGCATAACTCTGTTTGACTACAGAATTGTTTTAGTGATCAGTTTAAAACTATCATCAGTTCATCCTGATGTATGTTAACAGGTTAAATAACTGATCCTGCAACAAGGCCACAATCTTTTTTTGTTTTAACTGCTTATTGTTTTTTCAAATCTCAACCTTGTATTTAGTCTGAGTGAATTGACCTTGATCTGTGACCATTTAGCCCCAACTTTACAGTTAAGTGTAATTTATTACTTCACAATGAATTTTTGGGGGACACCAAAGCCGTGCGTTTATAAGAGGTGGATACTGTGCTCCGTCTTTATTTGCTCAATAAATCCCTGGCGAACTCAAACCCCGAGGTGCCGCATTCTGAAGGTGTTTTGTAACTGCCGGAGAGTCTCAACTTTTACAACTCAAATAGCGCTTTTAAATGTGATTGCTTATCACTCTTGCCCTGAATATGGAAGCATATGCGTAGCAATACTCTATTTGAAATGTAATATGTAAAATGTCAATGCATTTCTGTATTTAAATTAAATTCAACGTTGGTGCAAAATGAAAATACAGTTATTTAATTTACATTTGCCATTTCATACACTGGTTTTAATATGTAAATTGAACACAAATGTTAACGCTTTATAAGTTGCACAATTAAAATAAAAATGTATTACAGAAATGAATATGTCTAACATGTCCAAGCAAAAACTGTAGCAAAATGATCATTTAAATGTTATTTTTCTTAATTGCATTTACACTCACAGTTAAGACACTTGCGATTGCATTTTCATTAAATGTCCCGCAATGAATGTAGCAAAATTCAATGTGCAAATTGAAAATGCATTTCGAGCTGATCACATCCCCGCCCCCTCCCACCCTGTCAATCACTGCGTGAAAGTTGGCCCCGCCCCCTTCTCGGCAACAGGCAAACATTGGCTATGTGTGGCATGTTTTGAGGTGTTGGAATGAAGATTATTACACGTCTGCAGGTGATAGAACCAGTGCGATGTTGGAACGTCTGGGATCACGTTCTGCCTTATCAGGCGTATCACCCGTTTGGTGTCAACATTACTATGCTCCGCTGTTGTTGTCTGATGCTGGACTGTGTTAATGATGGTTTCGTTTTGTATTAAATATTCTCATTGTCTGATACACATATGCTTATCTTTATTCTTATTAGCTACTATTAGCTACTACTATACTAACCCTAACATTTAATGAAAATGCAAGTGTCTTAACCGAATCTAAATGCAATTTAGAAAAATAACATTTAAATGATCATTTTGCTACAGTTTTTGCTTGAACATATTAAACATATCTAATCATTTCTGTAATACATTTTCATTTTGCAACTTAATATATAACGTTAAAATATGTATTCAATTTACATCTTAAAACTAGTGTATGAAATGGAAAATGTAAATTATATAATTGTATTATCATTTTCATTTTGCACCAAACATTGCACAAATGTAATGGAAAATGTAAATTTAAATACAGAAAGGCATTGACATTTTACATATTGCATTGTCATTTTGCATTACATTTCAAATTGAATATTGCTACCCATATGCTTCCATATATGGAGTTTTTTTTTTTTGTGTGCTGTCTTATCTGCAAAGCTTTCAGAGAAATGAGATTGAAGTCGACCACACGGGGGCGGTGTCTCACCGTGATGGTGTAGCTGCCGGGCAGCAGCAGTCTGAAGTACTCCCCGTTACGATCGCTACTGAATGGACACAGGTTTCTTCTTCCCAACACCTCGACTACAGCGTTTTGCACAGGCTTCCCGTCTGAGTCCATCACTACTCCTTTCACTCCTGTGCAAAATAAAATAAAAACTCTTTGACTTGATTTTTGTTTGCAAAATATCACACTGGACCTGATATATAAGAAAGGTAGATTCTTCACTTGGGCCAGTAAGCGGCCACCTATCAATCAGCCACCATTTTAGTAAAATGAAAAATATTGCTTCTCCTGGTTTACAGTACACCTGCATGACCTCCATCAAGTATGGAGTCGCATGTAAACACTCTAGTTGCAGGTCTGTGTACTTCTATGAGTTTTAAAAGGGGACATCATGAAAATCTGACTTGTTCTGTGTTTAAAGAACTATAATCGGGTCCCCGGTGAATCTACCAACCCAGAAAAGGTGAAAAGTGACAACCTTGTAACTGTTTTGGTAAGTCTTTCTCTGCAAGCATGTCAAAACATAAAATAAAAAATAAGCTCCCCTTCTGACGTAAGAAGGCGATCTTATTGTAATATTACCACCCCTTAATCTGCACGTTTGTGACGGTTAGACTGTACAACTTACACCCATGGCGCCACAATTTTGTTTTGGCAAACGACAAAACCAATGGCAAAAGTATTGTCTTGTTAGCACAAATCATGCAAACTGTTCTGTCGTTGGCTGCACAGACAAACACATAACATTATTTGACCAAAAAATGTCACAGCTGTCTTATAAAGACCACAGGGTCAACTTGTGTAAAAGTTAAACAATACGGTACATGCTGCAAATATATGAAATGAATCAATGCAACGTTAACTCCACAACAACTACATACATATATCCACTAACCATTCACAAACGTCCAGGTGCAGTCTAAAAGTTGCAACCTCTTCCTGGGTCTCTCTGTAAGGCTGCAATCCGCTACTTATTTATGAAATCTGACTGAAATTCGCGTGTTTTGTTACTGACTATCACACCCTCGTGTACAGGATCGGCCATCTTCTGAACGGAGGTGGGGGGAACAGCAGCTCATTTGCATTTAAAGGGACATACACAAAAACGTTTTTGCTCATACACACAGAGGCAAATTTGACAAGCTATAATTAATGATCTGGGGGTATTTTGAGCAAAAAATGTCACAGACACATTGGCCCTCATTTATCATTCTTGCGTAGAAACGGGCGTATATGTTGGCGTTAGATTATGCTTACACTCCTCTCACCGCCTGATTTATGAAGCTGTGCGTACCTTTGAAATCCAGGTGTACGCAATACCTGCCCTTGATAAATCCCGCGGCTGAAAACGATCGTCATTAGAATAGCACGCCCCTATATATTCAAGTCTCCGCTTCCCCCACGCCCTCATTTTACGCCATGTACACACGGAAGACGGCATAGAAGAGAAACTTCTCCGACGTGGAGCCGAAATGTCCTATCACAATGCATTATTTTACGGCACGTCTTTTGAAACAATTAGCATTCAATTTCGAATCGCGTCACATGTATTGGGGTGTACAATAATGACGATGATGATGTGATGTGGAGTACCATTCATTCACATTAATAATTGCATGACAATTTGTAATATTCTTATTATTATTATGATTTTTATTATTAATGACGCTTGTTGTTATTTAGAAGAAGAACGTCGTTATTATTATTTATTTGTATTATTATTATTATTATTTAAAAGAAGAAGAATGTATTTTTTATTATTTTGTCAGTCTGAATTATTTTTTGGTCATTGAAAGCCTTTCGTTACCGAACCCAGTCCGTGCGCACCTGCCGGCCTAACCATGAAACGTCAGGGTAAAGCGCACAGGCTCGCAACTGAAGGAATACATATGGCTTCAAATCAAATGCTTTGGTAAAGTCACACAAATTAAACATTGAAGTCCATGTTGCACAAAAATAAACACTGAAGTTTATAATTACTATGTTGTTGTTGTTGGTCATAATATATCATATCTTTTAGTTTGTCAGTGCGTTTTGTGGTGTTAGGAATTGTTTTTCTGCGCATTTCTGCACTAACACAAAACGTGCGTACACCACCTCCTGAGCTGGCGTAGGATTTGAGCGTTCCGTACACCAACGTCCATATTGATAAATCTCAAAGTCACCGTGGGTTTGGGTGTACGCTGGAAATTTGGTGTACGCACTTTTGATAAATGAGGGCCATTATGAGGACACCATATTACATCTTGTGAAAAGGGGCATAATATGTCACCTTTAAAGGTGCACAGCACCATCTTACAAGCAGAAAAGGCGAATAACTTGACATTAAAAAAATGTAGTCGTGTCTACGTGGTATTACACACGTAGTTGGTTAGCCATTTCTTTCACACCGTTGTTTAAGAGGTGTGGTAGTGTATGTCGGGATGTTTTGCTTGTGGTTGGGTTACAGGGACAGTTGTGTCAATGCTGGGTGTGGACGGCGGCTTTGTCCCTGTGGGACAATCACGGTCAGGATAGTGCTGTGTGTGTGTAATTTGATTGCGACTGTAACAGAATATGTTTACTGTGTGCTGTAATAATACAGTACCCTATACCGCATGATATTTAGCTCATTATTTGATGGCTACAATTATATGGCTTGGCAAAACTTCTTTTTTTTAAATGTTTACTTAGCTTGTTTGTTTATTTAGGGGCCATTTAAGTGTGGGTGGGACGTTTCACTGGTAAAATCTCAAATGAAAGAGCTAAAGGTGTTGTCACATCTACCGTTACTTGGAGAAATACACTTATTGCAACAGGACAATCGGGAGTTTCACGTGAGGCCAAAAAAGTTCTCTGCATAGTTTTGATTGTGTTCAAATTCACAGCGTTGACCAACACAACGTCGAGTGATTAGAAAGTGACTTTTGTGTGAGCATTGATTCATGCATCACTATGCTACTGACAATGGAGCTTTTTACTGCTATTTTTTTCTTCTTTATATTGTGTTTATCATAAACAGTATTGTGTATATGAACAAACAGTTACACTATTAATTACATGACTGGCTGTAATTTGCAAGTGAGTTTAGCCAGTCTAGCTTGATAATAAACAATTGTGTTATCATAAAAACGTACTAACGATGCCTAGTAATCTATCAAATTACATATAGCAGTCAACAAGACAACTAACATTAGCAATTTCATGTCGATACAGGACAACTTAGTGGAGCTTCAGACACAGACGATAGAGTCTGCGTCGTCATTGTCTGAGGGCGACACGCACTGGCCAAATGCTACAGCCCAGAAATGTCCCGAGCACAGCGAAACAAGAAAATAAGAATTTACAGGCACACGGCAGTGCGTCTAAACACAAACACCAGCACACACTTCTAGTGGATCATGAGTTATGATTAAGAGGGATTTTTTATTTATTTGTATGACTCCATATTTTTTTGGAATACCATGCATAATGCTCCTTTAAGTGGACAAGTGTGTCTAAGCAGTACCTACCTAGGTGTACTTGCTGCATGTAAGCCAGTAGTGCAGGTCTGTTGGCCTCCCATAGGCCAGGAAGCTGTGACTCTAGAGGAAACTTGCAGCAAGAGATTTCCAGTGTGAGCTCTAAACACTGTGCCCTCACATAGTTATAGTCTTGCATTCCCCCTAAGAGAAAAACACATTCAATTAGTACAGAACCATCGATTGGTACTAACAGTATAACATTATATTAGATCTGTGCGGTACTGTAGGTCTTAATATATAGGCTGTCTGTTTTCATTCATATTAATCAAACAATTGTGGTATACTGGTAAAAAAAGTTGGATATATATATTTTTTCTATAGATATTTAGTTTTGACTTGGTGTGTTCCAAATTTGGTGGCATTACCAGGGATTTTAAGGTATGGTTGCTAGGTGATTTTGTTTTGGAACCTTCAGAAAACTTAATAGATTTTTCTCAAAACTTACTTTGCTGACTCTATTTTTTGCCCGATTCATACATCATTTTCAAGATTTCTTAATAGAGCAGTTAGCACAGGTCACAAATATTCAAATGCTGCATTGAACACTTTTACCTTTTAGAGGATACCAGTAGTATCCGTTAGTGATGCCGTTGACAAAGCCCGTCAAATCGAAACAACTGTTTGCGTTGTGCATTTCAGTGTGGTTGTAGGAGTAGGTCCTTGCCAAGTGGACAAACACGTCATCGTCGGGGGAGATGCTCTGGCCTCCTTGCAGCTCGCTTCCTGAAAGACAGCGAATAACATTCCTGTTAATCTCATGATCACGGCATGTTTGCAGTCCCAGCGATGAGCCGTGCAGATTCAGATGCTGGACTCGAGGCAATTCCAACTGAATTGCTGTTCTGGTAAAACTTTTCTTTTATAACATTATACCATTCTGCTTTGAGATTCCACTGGCCTGCTTGCCCAATGAATCTAGTTTTATGTGGCTTTTAAGAGCTAACAATATATATATTTTTTTCATTTAACTTCATGACCTTATGCTTTAAAAAAAAAAAAAAACTGGGGGTACCCACTGAAAAAGGGTTCATTAACTCTCTGGGGTCGGCGGTCTCGCCGGCGATACCAGCTCACTTTTTTCCTTATCAGTGCAAAAGAGACTCAAATTACTCTGTTAATTTTGATCTTACATATAAGTGTTGTACATCATTCGATCCTGTTAAGTTTGTATTTTTTTGTGGAACCTCATAATAAAAACAAAGTGTTGTGCTTTTCGCCTAATAAAGAAAAATAAACATGATACGCGTTCTGCGTTCTCTCTGTCAGTGAAGTCCATTCTGAAACGCGTCCGAAAAATCATCTGTAACTCTGCAAATACTCAGTCAAACAGGTATACAGGCACACAGGCATGAAGCCTGAATTATCTTCTTTTAAATGAAGTAATTTATATAAAAATTTTTTTTTTCTCATTTTATGTAATCTGTACGAAAAGAGAGAGATGATAGTCGTTCTCGTCTCAGCTCATTAAAGTTAATTTGACCACGCCCACGGAGCGCGCGCTCTATTCTCCAATAGTATCCAGCTGCAGACCCGCAGCACCACCAGTTTCAGAACCCCAGCGCCAGAACCGGAAGTAAGGGGCGGAGCTTACGTTCTAACACCAGCGCCAGGACCGGAAGTGAGGGGCGGAGCTTACGTTCTAAACCGAGTAACGCCACCTAACGTTTAGGAGCGTAATTTGCTTAGACACGAAACGGCATTATTACACACTATGTAATAATATATATTATTATAATTAATATATAATTACAATATGTTGAAATAAAATATTTTTGTATAAGCAACGTATTAAACTGCAAATTAACATTTATATGTCCTAATCATAAAAACGATATGTTACATATGAAAGACAAGATGTCGTTTTTACTGTAAAATACTGCCACATCAAATAAGCTTGTTTGCTAAGATGTTATTATAGTGTTTGTTCGATTGTAGGCTATATTCAAACTAATTAATCCGCAACTGTGAAATATGTATGATAAAATGTATACTTTAGTATATAATACAAAGAAAGATTACATTTGAAATATAGTTAAAATTTTAATTGTTGTTGTAATTGTAACCTTTTTATTAAAATAGCAAAAATATATGTAGGCTACATATAAATAAATCTTAGGTAAATCTTAAAAGCTCAATATAAGCCTCCTCTTTAAATTATTTGTATTGTGTTTTATTAGTGACACATTTGGGATACATTCCCAAACTTTCTGTAAAAACAGTATGATCATTAACTGCACAATTACTAGAAATTTTTACATTTGATATTATACAATTTGCAAGCACAATTTGAAAAATAAATAAATAATTGGAACTGTGAACCAATTTTGTATTATATAGGCATATATATATATATATATATTGTCATTGCATTCTTGTGGCTCAGTAACACACCTGAATGAAAGGGTCATTAGTATGCAGCCCCATTATGCGCTCATTATGCGGGCCTATTGTCTTCTCAGGTGTGAATCACAGCAGGTCACACCCCTGCGCATATTGCCTTTCCAAACAAAAAGTGTCATTTTTAAATTTAAACCAATCTATTGTTTTATGTGAATGATAAGGCAGGATGATTTTCAGATCATTTTGAAGAAAAAAACTCTAGGCGACAACATCCACTAGTCAAAAGTCTTGTGGACACATATTTAGTATGTGTTTTGTGGCCTTATTTCAGAAACTTTAAGTTTTAGTTTTTTCAATAATTAACCACGCATAAACAATATTCTCTCAAAAATACAAAAATGTACATACATGTTGATAACACATTATGGTAGCCCTGTTTGTGCTAAATAGAGTGTAATTACACCTTTGCCAGTAATATGTTTATAAGCAACTGAAAAAAGCACAAATGTCAGAGTATGTCAAAACATCTCAAGGACCCCAAAAACACCTTGGACCCCAGAGGGTTAATGCGTACAAGCAACTGACCTCTGTTGCTGTTGTCGTAGGGGTAGCTGGCCACCACCGCACCTCCGTGGAGATTGGCCGACAGGACGAAAGTCTCCGTCTTCAGCCAGTCCATCACTGCCATGACTTCTTTCTCACTTACCTGCTCGGTATTACTCTCAAATGCATCCGGAAAATTACGATTCAGGTCCACGCCGTTCTTATTATTCCTGGAGGGGAGGAGGAACTTGTTACTCAAGGAAACTATGGCCTATAAATGTGTTTTTCTGGAATAATTGCAAATATTTCTTTGACACATTCACAACAAATAACCTGACTCTTTTGTGGACATATTGAACAGCAGACCTGACTGTGTCAGCTGCAGCCTGCATCTGTGCTGCTGACACCAACATCTTCAAGGATGAAGAACATCAAACGACTAACTAGCAAACTAACAGGCCAGTGACAGCCCTCTGGATTAGTTTGCACTGGCAGGTCTAAATTTGTGCGGGTGGATTAGTGTGTTTTGCCGTGACACCGTCGGGTGGAGCGATCCTTCTTAATCCCGAACACGGAGCGCCTGCTCTACTACGCCATACAGAAGTGCTTCCCTCAGGGATTCCTATCTGCTTACTGTTGCAATGCTTTGAAGTGCTTTTAAACAGCCTCTCTCAGTCAACAAATGCTGCTCAGCTAAAGCTAAAGCATGCCTGGATGCCGGCACAACAGAATTATTACATACAACCATAGAGTATGGTAAAAAGAACAAATATATATATATTTTGTACAGAGGTTTAGAGGTTTAAAAATCAAGCCTTCCTGGGTGGTCAACGTCAAATGCATATGAAACCAACCTAGACGCAATAAACAGGATGTGTGTGTGCCACAATTCGCTGGCGTTTGAACACAGAGCTGTTTCTTCCTGCTTTCACAATACAATAATAATAAAAAAAAAGTTGGCCTGCACTCTCAGCCTCGATTGCCTTTTGTAGTTTAATGGCAGAGATGAGCTTGTTTATGCCAGGTTCTCTCGCAAATATTGGAGCTCTTCAACTTGTTTGAAAGCTTTTTGAAAACTGATTAAGCACCTCATAAATCCACTCAGATTCTCTAGTGTCTCTGGCTCGGTTTGGACTTGGGTTGTTTTCTTTCGCTGATTGCCGGCCTCATCCAGACACCTGATTTCTCTCTTAAGACCCTAGAATCTAAATCACGCCAGACACTTCAGCTGATCGATGTGGCAAACCACATTTTGTCGTTAAAATGGTTGATTAACTGCTTTCAGCTCTATAAACTATTTGTCTAAAAGAGCTCTTGAGGTTTCCATTAGTGGTGAGCTGTTAGTTTGATGGGGCAGAACAGATAGTTGACGGCCTTCATCTTGTCTGACGCTTTCTGCATTTGTGCTCAGATCAATGTATACCATTTATTTTATCAGGCTCAGGATATGGTTTTGTTAGGGTAACTGATCCTGGGTCAGACTAAGACACATTGCTCCATCTGTGATATCTAGAATGATAAAATCACATCACTATATATCAGAGATGGAGCAACACCCGGTGTGGTTTACTTTCCTTTAACCATTGTTTGTATGTAATGACAGCTTAGATCATGGTGTTTTTCGGATGACTTGTATCAGTACAATTTTACACACACGCCATGCCACACACTTAGATCTCTATGCATGCGCACAGCCATAAAATCTCTGCCAGCTTGCACTCTAGGTCTGTCAGTTTAATTTGGAGGAGTATCAGGGCTGTCACGGGGCGCCAGGATATGTGAGAGCCATTAATCCCTGAGTGAAAAGCATTAAATAGTGTTTATGTTGTGCTTTGTGGCTGTGGAGTGATCAGTGCAGAATGGAAATTTTTCGGGTGTGTTTCACTGATCTGTAAAGGAATAATTTACCAAAACTTCTGTCATTGTTTATTCACTCTCATGGTGTTACAAACCATCAACAGAACACAAAAGTGTTTGTTAAGCAGAATGCGCAAGCTGCTCTTTGCTATACAATGAAACTAAACGGGGACTGGTTCTGTCAAACGCCAAAAATTACAATAAGTCACCAGAAGCATTTAAAAACAATTGTGTACATTGAAAAGTGAAAATATATTTGATGAATGTAGAGAAATGTATCTAAAAAAGCAAAATAATGCTTTATATTTTCAAGATACCACTTGCATGCAGCGTGGTGAGGTCCATTCTTGAACAATACTTACAGGTTCACTTTCTAGATACACAGTATATACGCTGTGTGCAGGATTCACTAATTAGTGTAATTGTATTCGATTCCAAACATAGCCGGATTTCCCGAATCCTCCTTCCACCCCGCCCTGTATCTGCCATTGTTCAGAGCCAGAGGTTGACATGTCCGACCGCTCAAACAAACGCAAATGTTTTGAAAGAACCGCAGTGTTTACACTACTCAGGAAGTCGACCTAGGAATGGCTTACTTCTAATTAGTTCTGTACGTTAAAACGAGACAGAAATTATTGCAGGTTGCCCTTTCAAGGAAAATACCCTCTATGTTTATGGTGTGTGAGATATATATAAGATGAAGATATAGTGGCCACGTTCCACTGCAGACTCTCAAACTCGACCTAATGGAAAATTCCTGCAGTCCAGCTGTGCTTTCAAATTATAGTACTTTCACTGAAACCTCAGATGACTTCAATTTGCGCCAATGACAAACTGACCAGTCATATGCGTATTTGCCTCTTTCCGCTGAGAAAACTACGAATGCCAGGCCAAAACATCTGTGGACCTTTTGATCGAGTCAAGTCGCCCTAAATGTCTAAAACCTCAAGAGTTGTCTTTTCTTAAATTGGAAGGTCAAATTATTGCCATATTGGACATAAATCTGACAACAGAGCGGATTTCATTAGCTACCAAATATAGACCGTTTCCCAAATGAATTTATCAGAACATCCTTTTCCTGTCAATTAGTCCTTTGAGAATGACACATTTCCTCTGAATCTTAAGGGTGGCCACATGATATTGCTAATTATATCTGTAATTCCTATCTGCAAATGACTAATATAACCTTTTCCCACAAACTAATATCTGAGATTATACTAGATCCCAAGGGTGATTTGATTTAGTCGACTAGTTTTTTGTGACTTTAAGGGGATCGGAGCAAATAATCCCCAAAAATAAAATGAAAATAATTGTTCCTTATTAGGGCTTTGAATTGACAACCGGTTAAAGCTTCACAGCTTGCTCCATATGCTGTCCTTTTGAACTATTAACTGTTTTCAACATTGATAAGAAATAGTGCTAAATTAGATTTTTACAATGATTTCTGAAGGATCATGTGACAATTTTCACTGATGAAAATTCAGCTTTGCCATCACAGGAATAAATTGCATTTCCAAAAATAAATAAATTGAAAACAGTTCAGTTCTGTTAGCAGTTCTGGCGCCGTATTCACAAAGAATTTTATCTTACCACTAGGAGTACTCCTAAATCGCACTAAAATATTTTAGCTAGGAGTTTTCTCTTAAAAGTTATTCACAACGCCTTTCAGACCTACTCTTAGTAAGGAAAAATGACAACTCCTAAACTAAGAGTGAGTCTTCGTATCTATGGATGACGTCAATTCTCATGCACGAGCTTCCTCGCAATGCTCACGGTGATTGGTTGTTAGATGACAGGGCCATCATGCGGAACCATAACACAGACGCAACAAATCATGGAATTACGACATCTAAATGGCCCTGTCCCAAATGGCGCACTTCATGCGGACTTTCGGTCTCGTGGACTTAAATTGCATGTGCTCGCCGAGTCTACGAGTCCATAGGCCGTCCCATTTAGCATTTTAACGCTCTGAAGTGTGCTCAGCAGCGCCCCCTTTGTACCCTTGAAGCGGTCTTCCACGAAGCCCGCATAGATGCAGGCTCCACGCACTTTCACTACCCAGGAATCCTTGCGAAAGGCCAATCAGACAACGGATGGGAGGAGATTTCGCTCACGGACAATTGTTAACATGGCTGAGAAGAAAATATTTAAGTGTAATTATCATTACGGTTTTTATGACAAGTTTATACAAACATTATGATCATTGACCAGTGGTTGATGTCTCAAACATAGGCTAATAATAGCGAGCTGAATAATACGATCGCATTATGATTCATTAAATAAATAGAACAGAATGTCAGGGCTTTACTGAGTCATATGTAAACACAACAACAATAGGCATCATATTTCCCCGAACCTGTAGCTCCTGTCCATAACAACAATCAGACCGTCTTCCTGTTTCCGGCGTGACGATCGAGTCTGTCCCAAAAATACCTCTCAATGCGCCCTCGCGGACTCGCGCTAAGGGCCCTATAGGTCTGCACTACATGACGTCACCGAAGTGTGGACTCTAAGGAAGTCCACAAGTCCGGAGTGTGCCATTTGGGACAGGGCCAATATGTCCTACACAAAATAATAATAGTAATGTCATCGAAATGCATATATAATGACATGTTTGTTCAGGCCCCAGTGATGTGTAGGCTAATTCTAAAAAGGCAGAGAGAGAGAAAAGTCGTGAATTAAATTAAATCAAGGTAGCCTAATACCCTAATGAAAACCGCCACTTGCCTAATAATGAAAAAACAACACTTGCATTAACACTTGCTTGGTTAATTGACATCCTATTAGCCTAAATGAACTACTTAAAGCAAGGAAATGTTGCTTCTATTGAAGTAATGTAGTAGTTGAATGACGGTGGATTATGAACTCGCCAAAACAGAAAAGAAAGCCCAACTGGACGCAGGATCAGTTACTGCTGCTGGCCCAGTTGGTGCTGAAAAAAAAAAAACATAATAAAAGGGAAATTCGGACCTGGGATATCAAGCAAAACTAAGCGTGAGAATGGGAGAGGATTTGTTTGCAGATCAATGCAGCATTCCCGCTTGTGTCGCGGACCCGGACGACTGCGAGAGGCGGTGGTATGCGCTACAATCATTTGTGAATAGGTCTTAGTGAGTTAGGAGTCCTCTCGACTTCTTTTAAGCTGTCCCAGACTTAGGTGCTACTTTTAGGGCTAAAATGCTTCGTGAATTACTCTTAGTGAAAAAAATGAGTCGTCCTAAAATTAGGAGTGACACGCCCATTATTTTTTAGGAGTTGCTCCTAAATTCGCCAGTTAGGAGCTACTTTTAGCCTTAAAATTCTTTGTGAATACGGCCCCTGGAACACACTTGTTGCACATTTTTGTATCAGACTGTAAAAGTGTCTTTTATTGTGCCCCTTGTAGCAACACTGAGAATTCAACATGTTTTGTTGCATTGTTTCAAGAACTACATTATACACAAACATGTACTTGCATATAGTACCTTTCAGGCCTTAAACTCAGGCCATTTTTACAGCAATCGGCTTGTGTATTTTTGTGTCAAACTTACAAGTGTTGATTCATTGTTTCCTGTGAAATGTATAAACGCTTTTCCGTGGTATGTATATTATTTTTCTTTGCAGACTTGGCACATACAAAAATCTAAGGTATGGGTCTACAAGAAATACATGAAGTGGTGGTATAGCAGGGTAAGAAAATGATTTAAATGTATAAACTTTACTACAAAGCAACAACTTTTCCTGAGTATTTCATGGCATTACTACCGACAAAGTTACTGAATAAGTTCTGGTTCTTGCTCAGTTAGTAAAAGGATTAATGTAAGTATTAAGTCAAATTTAGTCAAGTCACCTTAACTTATACAGCCCTTTTATAACTTATCTGGTCAAATGAAAAACCATAATGTGATTATGCTTCTAGGCTGCATCATAAATCAGATTGTGGATTGGCATCATTCAGAATATTTCTTCTAGCTCCTGCTCACACCGGCAAAGTAGCCTAATTCAATCAGAACTGGAATCAGAGTGATGCATTTGCTTGTGATTCCCATCACTTTTCCTTACAATGTGAACTGTCACAGGTTAAGCATGATCCGTTGGATTGAAATAAGAGACCGTGGCAGTGGCTGACAGGGTTGTGTGTTTGTTTCACTTGGTTGAGAGTGGTGCCAAACCCCACAGGAAGCTCATAGCGAGAGCCATGGCAATACGGGCGAACCACACCGTGTAAAAATACAATCATCGTCCTCAATGTGCACAGCTGCATGGCTGAGGTTGTAGTGTGCTCTCTCGCTTTGACTCTTGCTCAATCTCTTTCTCTCCGAGTTTACCCACCATATCATCAAATCCAGATCAGATCTGTTTCCAATTGCATCCCCATCTGAGCAGGAGCGCTTATGTGATCTCAGACTGCAGGAGCAGGATGGTTTGTATTCAAGGATGTGGCTTCTATGGTATTAGATGAGGTCTGGTGTGTCTCCAAAGTTTTGGAGCTGGACATATGGTTGACACTGGTCTCACGTAGCCTTTCAAAAAACTAGGGAGTGGCTTCACTGTCTACAGCCTTTTGCAGGCAGCTATTTGTATAATGTTGAGCTCATGTTTTTCACTTCACTAATAGTCTGTGTGGCTTACATCATAATGCAAACTCACTGAGAATGAATAACGCAGATATATGTGTGTGCACTGTGACCGTACCACAGGCCCAAGGGGTCTGCTGAAAGTCTGAGAATAAAAAGATTTTACAAAATGTATTTTTTTAGGGTTGCTCGCATATTAAATATTAAAAAATGTAACACATTCACCAATATTTGTATAATGATTCTGCGATCTGAACACCTGTCAGAAATCATGAGGAATTAACTGATAACTATAAGGCAATATTGTTTGTAAAGCTGCTTTGGAACGATCTTTATGTTTATTTATGCATTATAAAAGTAAATGTGAATTGAAACACTTTTAATAATGAGAAAAACTACTGAACATCTTTATACATTATTTTTCAAGACCGAAAGATAGGCTTGGTGGCTGTGATGTTCCCTTTTACCAAAACCTTCAACACCCATAATGCACTTCTGATAGTGCAACCTAACGACCTGATTGTCTGTGGGCAGGAATACAAAAATGTGGAAGTTTGATCTGTAGTTTTAACAAAATCCCCAGAGCTGTCAAAAGTCCGCCGTATAACTTTTGAAAAGTCATACATATACCCTTCCCCTTGACATGAATGGCATCCAACTATTCATCTCTATTTGAGCTTGGCTAATTCAATTTACTTTATTGCTTATCATATAGAGCGATTCTAGATTGAGGTCACCCAGTGGGAGCTTTCACAGATACGATCCATCTACATCATCTAGTTCCTCTGTACAAAAACGGACAACGTGAGGTGCTGACTTGTCTTTGATTGGTATCGTTGAAAACAGCAGACTTTTACAGCATTGTGGACACGGTCTGATCAAAAGCTGCATTGTTACATCCACAGGATGAATGAAACTTAGCCATCCAGATAGGGGTTTTCATATCTTCTGATTACAGATTACAGATTTCCACTCGGGTAGATTTTTTTTGTCAGCATGTTGTGGCAACAAACCAAAGAAGTTATTTTCCATTGCTTCAGGCTTTTGACACCCCTTTACTCCGGCAAAACTATGTCCCGCTGTTTGGGAGCCTGTGGACCAAATAGTTTGAGTCTGCTATAATGGATGTTTATCTTTGTGTGTGTGTGTGTATGTGTGAGTAAGATCCCTCGTGCCAGATAAGATGTGTGTTTTGAGTCTTTGTATCCTGCTTATCAGCAAAGTTTGGGATGATTTGTGGGAAAAGTAGGCTCTATCTCTAAACGTCTCATCTGAGCCATGGTTTCTCTGGGCAGATAGTTACAGACTCTGACAACTTGGAAATAAACTGTTCTGAATTCCTTGCAGCAAAATAAATTCAGCTTTTGAAAGGCATAAATTGTTCAATTGGATGTTAAAGGGTCACTTCATGGGAAAAAAGATTTCCCCTGCTTTTTCCGACATACTAAAGAGCGTAAACCTCTCTACCACATTATTTATTTAAACCATGTATACTTTATATATGGTATGGACCGATTCCACTGGAAGTGTTGAAGCTGAATGTCACCATGGACCAATCAGCTGTGAGCTCGAGGCTACATTCACCAATATCATTGGTTTGCCCACTTCGATTTAAATGTAGGGATCCAGACTGCCACTAAATGGTCACATTTTGCAACTTTTTCCTGCCGTTGCCACTGAATTATGTTAGAGGTCGCACATATCCCACTACTAATTTGCCTAAATGGTAAGCGCTGCCAATTCTGTTGCGTATTAAAAACATCCAATGGCAAACTTGCCAAAAGCTGAACGAAACAGCACTATTCATTTGAACTGCACTCGGTCCAAAAGACAGCGCAGAGCAAATACGTTTAGTCACTGACTGGTGTCAATAATAGCGAGATTCAGTGAGAAGTATTCAAGTTCTCAAAAACAAACCACAAATGTCCTGGTGATTTAAACTAGTTTAAAGCCACATGAAACCACACTGACATTTTCACACTCGCGCAGAAGACAGGAGAAACATTGTGCGACAACGATCTAGGCTTTTTCTAGGACAAATCACCAACATTAACCATGGATTTACAGTAGTAACACTAATTATAAGCATGGTATTGTGGCACAAATGTGGGATATTCATATCAAATTGTATTATTTATCTCTCTCTCACTTACCGGCCCACCGAGTTCATGCAGTCCCGGGCAGATGACTCAAAGCCGTCCGGGTTCATGGATGGCAGGATGTGCACACGGCTGCTGTTCAACATACGTGTCACCAGCGGATCACTCAGGTAACGGCTGGTCAGATAATTAATCAACTGAAGCAGTAACACACGCCCTACAACCTGCACACAGTGAAACACAAATACATGGTCAAAAGGAAAAAAAAGTTTCAACTTTGATAACACTTCTATTTTTGATAAATCTGCTTCGCTGTGCATACATTTATGAATTATATGGGCTCATATCATTTAAGTGTCCTTTTGGAGTCTCTAAGTGTCCTTTTTTGGAAAGACACCTACATTTATCTTTTAAAAAAAGCTTGAAGAGAATACAATTTTGTGAGAATCACCCTTACTTTGCTGGATATACAGTAGCAAATTATGACAAAATGAACGTATTGAACAAGATAAATGATGTATGCTTAATTTCATGATAAGCGTATGATTAATCACACAAAAAACATTCTATTGACAGCCCTAATACACACACACACACTAAATATATATATATGTATATATAAACAGAACATAGATGGCTTTTATCTTGTTGCTTTATAACGTCATGCCCCAGTTAGGGCACGGGAGTCGAAATGATGCATTGTAACCGTCTAATTCAATACACCACAACAAACTTATATTTGTTCATTCAAATGTAATATCTTCAACTATAAATCCACACAAATTGCATTAGTATTTGTCATGCTTAACAAAACCATGGCAGAATCTTCCACAGGAAATGATCCTAGTAGGTGATCACTGAATAGATAGTTCATGCCACATCATTGTTGTCTCTTCTGGACGTCACAGGACGGCAGGGGTGCTTTGATGTGGTTTGAGGAGAGTTTTGCACTGCTATTCTCATCTTACAGGAGCAGCTATACCAGAAACTACTCACAGAACCTGATTGCCCGAGGTGCGTATATAAAACAACATGCAAGCATTGAGACTACAGATAGATAGTATCGGTATGGTGTGTAATGTATGTCTCTGTACTCTTTCTGAGAAATGATGGCCTCTGTTTGTCCCAAGGACAACACATTTTTTAGAAAACTATATTCGAATGAGACTCTGAAGTTAAAGTGCATCGTCATACACATTGTGACACAGTGAGACCTGTGATTATGAAGCACAAGTTCAGACCAGCAGAGTTGTGGGTTAAACTGTCTGTCCTGGAGTGTTGTAGTCTGTGTCTAACAGTGGGTCACGGTGTGTATGATTACTTTTATCTGTGAAACAGACCACAGCACACATCAGTTCATCGGTGTGAATGTGATAACACACCTCCTTTCCAAAAGAGTAGCAACAATCTCACTCATAAAAACAGACACCCATAAACAAAACTTGCCAATGGGCATATCAGCACAAAGCATACATCCTTATAATATATATGAATACATTATAGGTTAAAATATTAAACAGGGCTTAATATCCCAGAAAAGCACAATGAAAAATGTAGGGGCGTATTGAGAATTTATCAAACAACATAGGCCTAGTTTAAATATAAAGTTTACTTCCTAATATGTCATTTAAATTATTGGCATTTGATAGGAAAAGGCTTAGCCTACTTCTGTCCCTAATGGGACTTTAATAAATTTGTTATATCACAATTATTTTCATCTTTTTAATGGTTTCATTTGAGGACTTAGTGGCATACTAAGTTTTGTCCTGTTCCTTCATCAGACAAGAGCATTTCAAGTCCACACAAGAACCACTGGCTCCATAAGACCTCTAAGCAAATTCTGTAAAAACAGAGAGCTGAAACCATACACTGATGATGATATATTGAGTCCTGTAGTTCTCCCTGTCCCCATCAGCACTTACTCGCCAACTCATCTCAGACAAAAACATCTGCTCCAGTGGCAATTATACTGTTCAGAAGAAAACAGTAAAGTCTGGTTTCACGGTTCATTGACACACTAGATAGTTGTCACAATAAATAGTTGCTGGACATTGTACATGTCATGCCATGTTTGCATTACAGCAAATTGCTTTACTTAGTGGTTATATGTTGACATGTCATTACATTTCTCTGTTAAAACGTTCAGTGATGTGGTTGAAACTTTACTGATGTGGTTTGGTTTTTCTTTACCATGCAATTTACATAGTGTCCATCTATTGTGGGTGAAAACAGTGAACAATAACAAGATTCAAGAACTGTGTACCATTTCCTTTTCAAAAGACCAACACAAACCGCACACCCTCAGTCCCTTCAGCGCCCCAGACATGATCACAGGGCCCAACGCCAGGCCTGAAAAACATCATGTTCTTCATACGGCACACTGATGCTCACACTAAAACACCTCTAGATCAACTCCCACAACATTTCAGCATGTGTGTGAGGGCACAGACAGATCCCTCACACCTGTGGGGTGACGCATTTGAGGCTAAGCTTACACTTGTTGGTGAAATAAAACACCCTTGAGAGAAGAAAAGGAAGAAGGGTCCAGTTTAATAATTTAGGGAGGAATTGTCACACCCACACATGATTCTGCTGACATACTAAACAGCTGTGAGTATATTTGGTTGTAGATTCCTGAAAACTATCCCTCTATGTTGTGAAATGTTTTGTTAATATGAAAATATGGCTAAAAACTTTGATTTTGATCATTTCTTTTGTTGAAAGACAATAAATGATAGATAAATGAAGAAGAAAGCCAGAACATTAAATGTCACGGATGGATGGATATTAACTGAGTAATCCAAGATTGACTAATCCAATAGCAGAGATTTGGAGCCAGATTACAGGTTAAATTATTAACCAGATTAAATTATTTTAGAAAGACTGCAGCATCATTATTTTATTTTTACACAGAAATTGATAGATCTATTAGTTAAATCTACTGACTTTAGCAATCTATGTTACATCATATGCCAATGTCAACATGTCATAAATAAATAAATAAAAATACTTCTTGTGCTTTTTTCCCTGAAGTTTGCATGCCTGTTACTCAGTATATATATATATATATATATTAATATCCTTTTAGATTGGGTATATTCATTTTTAAGGCCCTTTATGTTTTATTTCCAGAGATATGGGGATTTCAATGTGGCTCAGTGAGTAAACTGTTAAATTCTACACTTTTTCCAAAAAACCAAACGTGGGTCACTTTCCATTTGCAGGAGGAATGTCTGAAGAACAAATTATGCTGAATAATTTTGTGTGCCTGTAACTCAAGTATTAAAGATTTCTCAATATGATTTTACATTATGGTTCTTTGAGTGGATTACTGACATTTTGGCTTTCATCACTATTTATGTTGGTCTTTCTTCATAAAAAAATATGATTTTTATATTTTTTGTTTGAGCCGAGGAAGTTTCTGAAATTTGGTTGATTTGACATGGAATGACCCTTTAGACTTTTAAACTAATTTAAGACCGTGCTTATGAGGATACTCGCCAAAAATAGGGCTTTGACATAATTGTGTGTGTTTTTGTCACTCAAGCTTAATAAATCACAAAAGAGAACTGTTGCGTGCTGTCTGAGAAAAGGCTTTCTGTTTCGGGTGTGTGTGTTCACAGAGACTCTCCACAGACAGAACGCCAGTACTAAATATTCTATTTTGTATCATATTATGCTTGAATGGTTTTAAAAGCAGTTGAATAAATGATTGGCTGTATAGGTTGACTGATATATCGATTTTGCAGATTTATCTGCTCCGATAACCTTTGCGGGAGTGGCTGAGAAGGGTCTGCTGTCATTACAC